TGTATTGATATATTTAAAACTTTGCAAAGTGTGCTAATTTTGTTATAAAACTTGTAATCATATTATTTCTCGTTGTGATATTTATCTGAATTCTTGCATAATGACGAGATTTTTAAGGTACACAATATCTTGCAGCATAAATATATAAAATATACATACATTTTTTTAAATAAGCTATTATTATTTTCTTCTATTTAACATATATGTAATATATCTTAAACGACCTTCTTTTTGTCTTATTATCAAAAAAGTTTTTAATTCGTTATTTACATACAGAAATGTCAAACATAACAGATACTAGTTTTATAACTTTTTCGGTAAGTGACAGTATCAGAGGGAAGGGTCATCGATTCGATTTCCATTCGCTGCAGTGCAGCACATATGACGCATATAGTCACACACTGGCACATCCGTACACGTATATATTGCTGATAGTCGTGGAGAACTTTGAAAACATACACGTGGCATAATTATTCTCAACGATATGATTTTCCAATGACGTTATAAGCTCTAATTCTTTTTCGGGTCGTACAATTTTCATTCTCAAATAATAGGCTTATCAATTCTCGCGTATTAAAACGTAATAATCATGGAAGAAGACCAAATCAACAGATTCGATTACAAGCAATAACAATCAGTCGTTGATATTTGTCCGCAATTCCGTTCGAGGTTATACACGATTATCGTATCATACGCAGTAACTACATAGTTAAGAATGTAATGCATATGAGCGGTATTTGCATAATTACAGACAATTATAACGAAACGTATAAAATTCCTGAATGCGCAATCGGTGTGAGTGAACGGTGTAATGATAAATGCGCATGATGAATGAGAACACGCCCGTACCCGTTACCTAACAATATTGATTAAAGGAACGACTCCTCGAATCCGACACGGATGATCGCGAGCGAGAGGCATTATAACGATTATAACTACAGTTCGACAAGTCGACAAACTGATGCAGCTTAACATCTTAATAAAATAAGGCGAATGGACTCCAGACATATTCGTGTGAATAGAATTTTCTGTATATGTTTGTGAAGCATTATTTGTAGATGAGGAACTTTATCAACATTTATGTTCCCTTCGAATAGTATTATTTCTGAATAAAAATATCAAACATTGATTACTAAAAATTCATAATGTCAAATTATACCCAATTTGAATTATTTTTATTCTGTAGGTCGCCACTGTTTCAATTCAATATGTTAATTTAACTTTATATATTGTTAATAAAATAATGGAGTTTAACAATTTTACTTACAAATTGTGTTAAACTTTATTCAAATTTAGTTTATGATTTACCAAGTGCATATGCTAATACAGACTTGTTTACTTTAAAATTAACTACAGAAATAGATTAATTTACATTTTGACACACATGGAAGCTTACAAAATGTTATTTATTATAACTCAAAGAATTGGGTTACTATTGCTTCTTTTATCTAGTTGGGCGTTAATGTTATGAGAAAGATTAATTTTCACAAAAAAAGAAAATAATAATAATAATAACAACAACATTAAGAATAATAAAGGAATGCGATTTAATAATTAAAATTTAATTCTGTAGCTTCAATTAATCGATCTTAAGAAATATATCATACACTTTTGATCCTTGAAGGTAATGTACATTCGGAATAGATATAACTCGAGATATAAGATCTGTCAGTAAAAACTCATTAACATTAGAGAGTCTGAGAGAAATCAAATCGTCCTACATTCTTGATCTGACTCCGACAAATCGGACGACGCGAAAGTCGAATTCTCGCGATAGTCGAATTATCCACGTGAATGGGTGTGCAATAGTACGATTATACGAAGATATATATCAATGTAATTGCGAATATTAGATTCAACGTGACGACTCGTTTCGCTAACCACGAAGAAATTAATCAACCTTGCAATGAAGCCCCGTTGCTCAAATAGGAATGGTTTTGATAGTCGTACACAAGCTAAATTTAATTTCTTAATAAAAAATAAGAAGTACAATTGATATGTAATTATGTTACAATATAGATACCTATATCTATGTATATATACTTCTATTATGTCACAATATAGATATCTAGATAAGGTATCAGATCTATTGACAATCAAAAGAACATTTATCATATTTGTACATCTGTAAAAACTCAACGAATAGCATTTAAAATTTATATTCAATATACATTATACTCAAGCAAACTAATACATCGGAATCGTTGTAAGAGACAGTGGCCCAGTTTTGCGAGTCGTGCGTCATACACGCTCAGTGAAAAAGCGTCCTCCGAGAGAGCAGATTCCATTTTCCACCTTGTCATCCCCGCTATCTCACCCTCGGGCTATGCAAGGTTTTCCATCCCTATGAATACAGCTACAAATGAGAGGATTCTGCGAATGTAATGTCGAAGATGCTCCGCCATGAAAGATGTAAGAGCGCTAAATGAAGAGTACCGACACCGATTACCGGGGATGTCAAAGAGAGCGACTACTGTCATCAAAGAAGTCGATCCCTCACCCTTGATATCACAGTCTCTCACTCTCGTCTTGTGCTGTACACACTCTCGTTTCGTCCTGTAACACGTTTGACCTCCTTTCAAGTTTAAAGGAAACTTCGTACAGAAGCTGGCTCTGCGCAAACAAGATTGTTTACAACTAAGTGATCCACCAACTATCGAACAGAGAAATAGCAGTTATGAAGAATAATATATCCTTCGAGATATCCTATGATAAACTTATTTAAGTGGTGCTTAGACTTAATCCGATCTTTTATAAAAACTATACATAATATAAAATAATATAAATTAATACAAATTTTATTCATTGACACTAGTAATTCACTATAAATAATGCTTGTGTTTGTATAAATAATGCCTTGAAAACATCATTTTTCCATATAATCGAAATCTCATATGACATAAAAATAAATAATAAATAAGCTTTACTAATGTAATCATGTTCTTTATCATTTCTTAATTATTATTTTTGCGTTTATATAATTTGTAATAAAATTTCTTTTCTTATATATTCAATATATCACTATAGTAATTTGAGAATATAATTGAAAAATGACTTCATTTCACAATTGTATTTGTTAAAATAAATGTGGAAAGAATCAAATATATACAACCTGTTTTATACATTAAAAAGTAAAGCCAGTTTACAGAGTGCTACCCGGGAATAGAGTAGTTCTGATTTTATTGTCCGATCACACATAAAGCAATCTCGATCGAAACACGGACATAAAAGTTCGCGATAGCAATATCAACGAGCACGTGTTTCTTTGCGATGAAGCGAGTCATGGCACGGTTATATATGGAATTCCAGAATTAATATGCACGCGCACGTGGTAGCAGTATCACGTAGTCCGCAATAAATAGTTAGTGCAGATCGTAACGATGATATTAATCAATGGTTACGTTAATTTGAATTTATTACTCGATAAGAAAACACGGAACATACTGTTGTAGTGATATCTCCGTATAGCAAGATATAAAGTTCCAATATATAAGATAGGAGTGCTGAGAGCATATCCGAACGAAGCGTAATGTTGTGCAATACGATATGCGCACATTATGGGATGACTACTACAGCGGTTTATCCATTAACGAGAATACCAGAGAATCTCAGTCTAACTGCTTTTCTCGCTAATTTATTGTCAGCGATTTGTAATGTAATATTAACTCTATCGAATAAATCTTCTTATTCAACTAAATAATCGCCATTTAAAAATGAGATAAATACATCCTATGTAGATATAGGCGCAATATTACAGCATTAATATTAACACAAAATCGTAATTTCGAGTCTCTGGGACAAGTTCAAAGATATTTTAAAATACTTATGTAATAACGTATGAAAAATTCAACGTAACTTGCAAATTCAGTTCTACTTGTTTTGTGATTATAATATTTTATTTGTTATGTATATCAACAAATATTATAAAAATATCATAAATATCGTATGTTGCAAAAAACAATCTCGTATAAATATCCTGATTGTGTCAAATTCTTCACTGCACCGTTAAATAGATATTAAGCGAGAGAGGAAGACAGTATATTATGGTACAGAGAAACCAATATGTAGGATGGAAACTGTCTACAATATAAATTTTGATAGGATTTGAAACTCTTGTTGATGGTCCAAGTTTGCAACTAATCCTCATTTCTAGTAACGCGAGCGAAAGGGGAGGGTAATGCTATACAAATAGCTGTTCGAGTTTAAAATGGGCTCGCGGAAGCGGTTTTTAATACAAACAATCGCGCTTTTCTTTTATAATGGTGTAGTTATAAGATATAATGCCGCTGAGAAAGAGTGGAGAAAAAGTAGAGACAGCCGTTATCACGCTGCGCAACGCTCTATTTTGCTGGTGACAAGGCATGTCATAATTATCTTGAACTTATGTTGCTTACTTTGTGCAAATTATTCTTTTTAATATTTAATATTAAATACAAAATTGCTTCAATTTTGCAGGTAATCAGTGTATAATCATAGCTGAAGAGTAATTTAACGCCTATCAAAAAAAGCATATTACATGTATTTATCTAAAAGTTATACTTATTTGAAAATATGTACTAAAGACATTTCAATAATTACATTAAAATGTAAGAGTTTCATATATATTGATATCTAAAAAATATAAAAGTTTAATATATATATATATATATATTAATATTTTCCTATTGTTTAATAATAAATTTATATATAATTTCAATCTTGATATGTGCTATTTCTTTTTAAAGCTTTAGTTTAAAATATAAGTATATTAGATATATTATAAACACCTCATTAAAGACAAAGTCATGCTATTTTAAAAAGTATCTATACTGTATACTGATATATAATACTTTGAGTGCATTCTGTTTTCACCCTCACACTGTAAGCATCAGCTCGTCCTTATTATCAAATGTTAAACAAAGATAAATGATGCCTACAAGCGCTATAAGCGCAAAACGGAACGCATACTTTATTGAAAGAGTAACTGATCTATTGTCCTATGAAAGGAAGGTGCGACTCACCGGATTGTTGGTAAGATTCGCCGAGGTGGATACAACAGCGGTAGAACGATGATCATATTCTTCCGAATAGTCGTCTCGATATGTTCTACTAGCGGTGGGTCCCTGACCGTCTCTTTCGTCGAGGGTATCTCGATGGAAGTCCCTGAAATCCCTGAGATGTTCGCGCAGGTCCCGATAATCAGTGTGGTAACCCTCTTGGTAGTCGCGGCTCACGTGGTCACGGTCTCCACGAAGCTGCCTCGACATCGCCGTTGGCTCTTCCTCCTCTGAGTCGAGCAGCTGCTCGACTCCACCGCCACCTCCACCACCTCCAGCACCACCTCCGCGTCGGGCGGGATGACGCCGGAGGTCACACCATTCTATCTCCTCCTCCGCTCTACCAGAGATTTCGCCCCGGGACAATCGAGCCGTGCTTGTTGACCTCACAACCGATCTACCTCTGACCTCCTGCCCCCGCGGCCCGCCGGGGGGCTCCACCACATCACAATCAAAAGCTATCCTTCCTGGAGCTGTTACGATCCGATTCTTACTTATTCACCACTTGTTTCCTCTCTTCCTGATGCTTGTGTTGTTAACTGATTTTAGGGAAGTAGGATGTGCGCGTGATAGAGTTGATGAAATTACTACCTGTGAACTAACAAAAGAAATAAAATTTTCATTACGATAGTTGTGTATTCACATATACGATTTTAATAAATTTAGTTTATTATTCTCTTTTACGACGATTTTAATAAATCTAGTTTATTATTCTCTTTTCAATCAATTTCTTATAGAGCAAGATACATATGTGATAAAGATTGAGATCAAATACCGATTCAATGGAACCACGCATCACTCTATATTAATTAAGTATTGTATATAATTTTTTGTATATAATTTTATTGTATAAATTTTATATCATTTTATTAAAACAGTTTCATAATTATACTCTCTTACTAGACAGAACAAGAACAAAACAATGTATATAATGTGAACTGTAAAACATTAATCTCGGTCAAGTAAACAAATGGAAGCGAAGATGAATGAACTACAATTCGCACTTATTTAAAAAGTAAATTGTTTATTCGTGTTCGTTTGCGCTCATCTACTTCTAAATCTGGATTTAAATGGCTATGAACATCGAAATGTTGTATCATTGATAAATTTATTTGGCGAACTAAGAAAAATTTTTTAAATGCAATTTTAATATTTTTTTTTAGATATGCGAACACATTCAATTATAGATTTTTCATATTACCCTTTTTAATTTTCTAAATGATAGTGCAAATTACATTAATATTAATTACGTTAATATGTTAATGACACTGCAAACTACAATGGCTACATTATTGTTCATTACTTTTTATTGTCAGATAATTAGCACGTTACTATATAATTATTTATAACGAAATAAAAAAAACTGAAGAAAACATGCTTATCACTCTGTTTCTTTTTCAATAAATAATGTTTAATTAAGGAAACAGATTTTTTTTCGAATCCAGCAAACATGAATTTGCAGAAAAATTCAAATAATTTTAATAGCATTTTTTAATGGCATTTTAATGAATAAGTCATAAAAACAACTCGTTTTTTTTCTCTCTTTAGAGTCAATTATAGACAATAAGTATGGACTGTACATTTCTACGAAGTTGCTGTATTATTGGTAATTTATAAAGAGTGAAGTAGCTTGATTCATGTCATTCTTTCTCTAAAGTATCGAGTTAAATAGAGATGTCGATATAATTTAATTCTTTCTCGGGGTACAGATATCTACTAAAATCAGGGAAAGCGCAGTTTATATTTACTATTTTTAAGTAAATAAATCTATATTCCAAATAAAGTATAATTTAATCATTTTTATATAATAATATCTCTCTATAGTAATTAACACCATAATTTAGATTCTTTACTTTCGATTCTTTACTTTTCTACTGGCACTACAAATACATAATTTTACTTGATTTTTTTATAATCACCACAAGCACTACATATTTAAATAATGTCCTATCTCTAATTATATAGTTTTACCGAAATAGAGAAATTATTCATTACTTGTGGCTTTAATGAACAGAAATTATTCAGTTTCATTCCGTCATTGTTGTTTAAACAAGCAGAAAATTGATGGTATTCCATTAATTTAGCTACAAATTATTCAATTATTTAAATAGGACTGCAACACATAAATAATACTTCAACGCACATGATGGGGTGTTCCCTCGATTGTTCGCGATTAGTGGTACGTGTGTCGAATGTATTATCGTTAACAATCGGTAATGCACTGGATTCTATACATTGCAATGATCTATCATTCTTCAATGTTATTTGTATATATTTGAAAAAGTCGCACAATATCGTAACTCTTTATTGTTTTCGCTTGTAATAAATTTAATTTTATATTATTATTATGTAACATACAATGCAGATAACTCTACTTATCGAATCAAGAAATATTTCGCGAACACGGAATGTACTCTTTTCTTCATATTCAGCCGTCATGTACTGTTTACACGATCTTCTATGGTTTGCTTCCTTTTCTTTTGCCCGGTCTGTTTACTCGCGAAACTTTGTTTACTTCGTGACTCGCGATTCCCGTGGTATCACAACAATATTGGAAATATCATTCACTGCGCTCTGAATTTATTCGAGCGAAACGAGCATTCATGTAATACGAGTGATTATTATCTTATTCATTATCTTATTGTGACTTTAAACGAAATTACCTCGTTTCTCTCTCTTTACGAAGCTGTACATTTCATTGAAAATATCGATATATCTGATATCATTATATTCGAGAGACGTAAAACGTTCCGATAATTGTGTAAATATAATTTTACGACAAGCTCTAAAAGTCAAGGAAAATTGCAATTATCTATCGATCGAAGAAATAACGCTTTACTGATCTCTTAACGCGGAAGTTGCATCTTCCAGAACAGCGATAGTCGAGCGAATATTAAAGTAGACGTTCTCATAAAGTTCTCGTATTCAGCGGCATTATCATCATGACGATCGTTACCACGATAACGAGGTCGACCTAGTGCCATCAAATCATTTGTTCGTTAATTAATAGCATTATCATTGGAAGGCGTTGTCCCTAGACTGTCGTTATGTGTGAATGATTGATTTCTCTTTGCCAAGGTCAGGTACATAATTCTCCGAATATATGATATTAATAACTTTCCGGGTCATTACAACAGTTAATTTGAACACTTTTGTTCTCTACAAATATATACAATTGCAGAAATAAGAAGAAAAACAACATAAGTATGCATAATTATATCATTTCAAAATAGACGGTTTCTAAAGAAAATTTAGGAATATTAAACAAAAATGTATAAGCAACAATAAATTATTTGAACAATTATCTTAAAAATAATATTATTATAGAGATAAAATGTAATAATAAAATAATAATAATGTAAGAATCTAATAATAAGAATATTATTAAAATACATATTATTAAAATTATCGAAGGAAAATAAGTTAAAATAGGCCATTGGTAAACTATTAATTTGCGCAAGGGTGTACGTGACTAAGAGGAGAATCCGATGCATAAGATCCTGTCATGGTTCACGGAATAGAGAGGGTGGTGACGGAGCTCGCTTAAGGTGGGGTAAAGTTAGGTCACGCCGCAGACCACGAATGTAGGGCTGTAGGTCGCGCCCGGTCGAGCTCAGCTGGGCCGCGATCCGAAGAAGGGGTTGCAGCTTGCCTGTGATCAGACGAGCGCGGCGCGCTACTTCCGTCCACTCTCCACTGCGTGCACCGGGAAATCATCGTACTATGTGTCAGTGGAAAGCGCCGGCAAATGGTCAGACGAACGTTAACGCGATACGACAGTCTACAATCGCGACTTAGCGACCATATCAGCATGTGATTTTATCGTTGTGCTTTTCTACGGGAGATCTGGACCAATTCCACGATGATGACCGCTAAATTTCGGAGGTCATGGCGACCTTGTGCGCTTCTCTTCCTCATCAACGTTCTCAAACGATTGTCATCGGTAATTTTAACTTTCCCATACATATTTTCGAAACTTACGAGACTTTTCTGCGAACATAACTTCCCTCGACGTTTTTTTTTTTTTAGGGAGACTGGAGCACCACTCGGAGCTTGTCACTTTCGCGCGCGGATGTCGCGGACGTTCGCGATCAGAATTTAAACGAGACTCTCGCAGGGACGAAGATTTCACCTGTCACGGACACGACTCGCGGGTAACCGGAAAATTTTCGCGCCGCACGTTCGAGGTCGACGTCGAGCGGTCACTACGTCGAAACAACAGCTCACTCTTAACGCAACTCGCACCACCTCGATTACCCTCGGTAGACTACGGTTCGTATCGTCTTGGCTCGGCTCGCATACCATGACGTCACGCGGACAGACGAAAACCCCGGCGGTCTGGGGTATCGATCGCGTGCGCTGGCGCAGCCGGGGTTTCGCGCCGCGACACTGGATAATCGGAGGCAGACACGGGACACGTGGCTGACACTCCGAAAGATGACAGTTTGGGACTTGAAGCTCACAGATGATTCGCGGCTTTAATAATTATTAAAATCCAATTCTGTAATAATAGTATTCTGGTATTCCTCGTTAATTACTTTTTTTAGTTTATTATATAAAATGTTGAAATTAAAGCTTTTTATATATCAGATAAATCTTTTATCTTATAATGATGAGTCACTCAACGATATTTTATGTAAGCATGAATATAATGGAATAATTTGCTGATATTATAGAGGAAGCTTCTCTCAAAAGCTTTTTATTCATTGACGCTTCACTGGAATTGCACAGTCATTGTCTTTTAAGAATAATTGCTGTAATAATGTAACAAAAATATATTGGAATTAATTCATAATTTGAATTATTTAAAGATGTAGAATAATAATACCATTGTTCGCCACATAATTGGTGGTAGACAGTTAGGACTTTTCATTCTTAAAATATCCACATATTGTCATGTACGCCTGTCGATATTCCGATACTTGATTATTCAAATATGAAATTCGATTTATCGCAGTGTCGACTAACGCTATTACGGCGGTGGAATGATTTTTCATTAATCTGTTGATTCTCTTTATTCTCGCTGGATTTAAAGGAAAAAAAATTGCAATGAATAATTGCAATTGAGCGATGAATAACAGTGATAGCAAATTGAAACAATATATTAAATCTAAATAATACTTCACTAAACAACGCGATAATTTTTTTAAAGACTCAAATTAAGAATTAAAACTAATTAATTTTTAATTAGACCAATGCATACTCATCGTTCGTGTAATTCTATTCAGAAAACAGATATTGCATATGTGGCTTCGTTTTCCTTGAAGCTATCGTACTACCTGTCAATTCGATATTTCTTCATTCTAAAGCTCTCATTCTGAAACTCACATTATCATGTCTCTCTCACGATACTTTATAAACTGTGCAAATCATGATTATTTCAAAAATAAAATAAAGGAGAGACAGATAATACTCGATATAAATTTAATATTTTTAAAATAGACCGAGAAGAAATATAAAGAACAATACTATTCGACAGAATAAAATAGCTTATTGTCAGTAAGATTTAATGATTGGTTTATACACTTATTATTAAAATCAACAAGCAATTACAAATAAAAATCAATTATATAAAAAAATCACTTAAGCTGCTTTTTCAAGCAATTTGTTATTAATCTAACATTATATAATTTACTATCTTTACAAGAAAATATTAAAATATATATTTTAATTTTACATTAAAATTATATAAATGTAAGAGATTATTTTATTTATTGATCCTTTATAATTATATTATAAATGTATCAATATTATTATATTTCCAGTAATCACGTATCTTCCAAACAACATAAAGCATAATTTTTATAATTAAAATAAATTAATTAAATTGTTTAAGTTAGTTTTATCGTTAAAATTTTATTACAAAATGCCAAAATATCAGTAGAAAACGATAAAACGATATTATTAATCACGTTAATTATATTGTTTACTAGAAAACCAATTAATATAATATTACCTTTATACTCGCAGCAAATAAATCAAGTTTATAAAACAATATAAAAATTCCCTTGAATATGTCTCTGTTAATTTGCAAAAAGCCAACACACAGATAAATATCACTAAAGCAATTAAAATACAATACTTGTCACGAGCATCGCGTTATCATTATAACATCGAAGAATCGTGAGATTTTATTACGAATACAGTTAACTGTTCATGTTGCAATCTGTATAGAAATAGAAAAAGAAAGACAAATTTATATAAATTATAAAAATTCATTTAAAGAAGATAAGGAAATGATAATATAAGAAAAATATTTGAATATTTTAATTATTTTAATTTTTTTAGTAATTGAATGATTATTCTCACTAGAAAAATTCTATTCAATGCTAATTGGATGTGAAATGAAAGGAAATCTATTCTGTCTGAAAAAGAATCGTAATATCTGTTAAAGCAATTTCAATTTTGCAATCCTGCAATTGTGCAAAAATGCAACACTGACATCTATCGGAGGGAGAAGGAAATAAAATGAAAAGGAGTTGAAAATAAAATAAGTGCTTTTCCGTATAGCGAGCAACTTTCCTCTGCAATCTCTTACCGTTACCTTCAGCGATAACGCCGATATCTGAGAATGTCTCCGGTTAGTCACCACCTCTTGGTAAGCTTGCAGTCGCGAATTGTGTTCCGGGTGTGTCTTCAGAGCGGGATATCGATCGCATGATATCGTTAAGGGTGGTAGAGAGAACTATGGCTTAGCGAGAGAGAGAGAGAGGGAGAGAGAGAGAAAGAGAGAGAGAGAGAGTACGCTGGTGGCGTCACATACTGACGACTGCATCTAGAACATATATATTACGTATTAGATGTATTAGAAAGTTCCGTCCATTTTTATGCAAAAAGTATGATTATATTTAAGAAACAAGATGAAAACGTACATCAATCAAAATATTATCCATCGTTATCGTTAGCGATGACTTTTTCCCATCTTTCGGGCAGTAAGCGAATTCCGCGGTGAAAGAATAACTTGTCTTTGGAGGCTATCCACTCAGAGATCCATTTTTCGACATAAGAATTGAAGTGTTCCTCTGCAAGTGCGTGTGCCATCGATCGAAACAAGTGATAATCGAAAGGGGCACAGTCTGGTGAATAAGCCGCATGGGGGAGCCCTTCCCAGCGAAGTGCTTCTAACATTTCCTTAACGAGTTTTGTGACGCGAGATCGAGCGTTGTCGTGAAGCAAGATCACTTTATGCTGTCTCGTTTGATATTCTGGTCGTTTTTCTTGCAATGCTCGGCTCAAACGGATAATTTGTTTTCGGTAGAGATCCCTATGACTGTTTGACCAGATTTCAATAGCTCATAGTACACTACACCCTGTTGATTCCATCAAATACAGAGCATTGTCTTCTTTCCGTGAATATTCCGCTTTGGCGTCGATGTCGATGGTTGACCTGGATCGCAAATGATTTTTCGGCGTTTGGGGTTATCGAAGTAGATCCACTTTTTACCAGTTACAATTCAGTGCAAAAATCTCTTTCTTTGTTGTCTAGCAAGCAGAATTTCGCAGGTGATTTTTCATCTTTCAATGTCTCTTGGCTTCAGTTCATATGGGACCCATTTTCCTTCCTTGTAGATCTTTCCTAAGGCTTTCAAACGATTGGAAATAACAGATTGAGTACAATTTAATGTTTCTGCAAGTTGTTTTTGCGTTTGACATGGGTTTTCATCCACCAATGCCTGCAATTCTTCGTCTTCAAATGCTTCTTTTGGCCGTCCAGAACGCTCTTTGTCCTCCACATCAAAATCACCACTTTTAAAGCATCGAAACCATTCTCTGCATGTTTTATCGGAAGGAGTACTATCATCATAAACTTCTATAAGCATTCGATGAGCTTCAGCTGCAATTTTCTTCCATTTGAAGCAAAAGATTAACACTTCACGCAAATGACGCTTATTTGGCTCAAATGTCGACATTTTCGATGCGGTAAAAAGCAATGTTATTGATGCAAACGTATATTTTTATATACTGAATTTTATTGACAGATGATAAAACTAAAAAAATTAAGCTTGGTTTAGACATTAGAGTTATCGACAATTCTAGCTATAGTTACTCATCGCTAGATGGACGGAACTTTCTAATACACCTAATATTTACATCAGTGGAAAAACGTTTGAGAGACACAGAAAAATTACTACCATGTTTGATTGTAATCTGCGGATATATCAAAAATATTTTATATGATTTATAAAAAGTACGCTTTTAGATTTTATAAATGGAAAATCGTGGGTGAAAAATATCGGATATGAATTAGCTTCAGTTGAAAATATAAAAAAGATAAATATGTAGCGCACTGCACTGTTAAAATATACATACATATAATATATATATTTTTTATTAATAATTATGTATATATATATATATGTGTGTGTGTGTGTGTGTGTGTGTGTGTGTGTGTGTGTGTGTGTGTGTATGTGTGTGTATGCACATATATACATATAACTGCTTTGGTCGTAAATTACATTACAACTTTCATATTTTTATTTATCCATAATACGATTTAAAACAAAAGCAATTCTTCTGAGAAAAGGAAAAAGATTGTAATTAAAATCCGAAACATAAACTACACTTTTTACTTCTCCTATAGAATCTATTGACCTAACAATAAGTCAATTAGCACTAACATAATAAATGCTGACTAACAGTATTGACTGCTAAGAGACTACTGATGATCAGTGTTCAACTTTTCAGTAGTCTAATAGGAGGCAACAACCTTTATATTTCTATATATATATACACACAAAATCTATACATATCTTGTATAAATGTAAATTATAAATGTATGATATATCTTCCCTTCCCCCTCCCTAAAAAATATATTTTTAACGTAAGAATGTCATTCTTGACATGAGAAGAAAGAAATAACATAAAATTTGTTAAACATGACCTGTTAAAAAATATTTATTAAATTATATTTATTACATATTAAATAGTAAGAATTTATTGGCTTAATTAAAAAATTTAATTTAAATAAATATGAGTTTTAAGTATAAATTTTAAGTATCATAATGTAATTATTATTTTTCCTTTTACACATTTTCAATGGTTAATTTAATTTCTTATTCACATGAAAAATTTCTCAGTTAATATTTAATATCGGGGTTTCAATACTTTTATTAATTTTTTTAATGAATGATTATAAATTAACTTTTCTCTATACAAGTCTGCGACTCTCGATTTTAACCAAAGAATTTGGCAAAACTATTTTATCGAGGGACATAATGTAATCGACTGTTGACTGAAGTATTTAATCTTCTTATCATATTGTAATCTGTCATAATACTTTTTGAATTCTATATATTGACACTTCACCACTGATGGTTTTTTTTTAAATT